CCCTAAGATCATGGCCACTGGTCCCATCACCGCCTGGCAAATAGAAGGGGAAGATATGGAGGCAGTGACAAATTTTACTTTCCTGGACCCCATGATCCCTGCAGATGGTGATAGCAGACACGAAATTAAAAGACACCTGTTTCTTGGGAGGAAAGCAATGACAAATCTCGATAGCATCTTAAAAAGCAGAGACATCACCTTGCCAACAAAGGTCCCCATAGTCAAAGCTATGTTTTTTCCTGTAGTGATGTATGGAAGTGAGAGCTGGACCATAAAGAAGGCTGACCGCCCATGATCCCTGCAGATGGTGATAGCAGACACGAAATTAAAAGACACCTGTTTCTTGGGAGGAAAGCAATGACAAATCTCGATAGCATCTTAAAAAGCAGAGACATCACCTTGCCAACAAAGGTCCCCATAGTCAAAGCTATGTTTTTTCCTGTAGTGATGTATGGAAGTGAGAGCTGGACCATAAAGAAGGCTGACCGCCAAAGAATTGATACTTTTGAATTGTGGTGCTGGAGGAGACTCTTGAGAGTCCCCTGGACTGCAAAGAGAACAAATCTATCCATTTTGAAAGAAATCAACCCTGAATGCTCACTGGAAGGACAGAACCTGAAGCTGAGGCTCCAATACTTTGACCATCTCATGAGAAGAGAAGACTCCCTGGAAAAGACCCTGATGTTAGGAAAGTGTGAAGGCAAGAGGAAAAGGGTACGGCAGAGGACAAGACGGTTGGACAGTGTAATCGAAGCTACCAACATGAATTTGACCCAACTCCAGGAGGCAGTGGAAGACAGGAGAGCCTGACATGCTCTGGTCCATGGGGTCACGAAGAGTCGGACATGACTTAACGACTAATTAACAACAAAAGTTAATATGTGAATGTGCTTCTATGGCAATTTACCCATATACTAGCAGTGGTCTTTTACATGAGATATGTATAATATCTCATGTATAATATCTCATGACAACACTCTTTTGCTGTTTCCCCAGAAAGACATAATTTTTCAATTATATCATTATAATGGACAATAAGAATGCCAGAAATTAAATAGTCAAATCAGATAAAGTTCAGGTTTTTTATTTTCATTTTGTTTTGTTTGTTTTTGCTATCCCTACATCAATATTCCTTCCCCTTTCATTGCCTTCATTCCTGAAGGTTAGGGCAATGTACTGACCTTTTTTCCTTGTCCTGTCCAATATTATAGAATAAGGCTAGACGTTGTGTTGGAAGATAACACTCAGCATTATGTGGCAGAGGCCTTGGTCTTGTGAATGCTCCCTTCTCCTCTCTTCCTCTGGCACAGCTATGAGGAGATAGGAAACTGGGGTGGTCGTTTACTTCCATTTTTAATTAACCACAGTTTGTCATTTCATCTGAATCAGAACAGATTGTGGTTAATCTTCACTGTAGTTTAAACTATCAAGTTTTGGAACCCATCAAATGTTTTGGGCAGGAATTCCCATCCCCTGACCATTTGGTATACTAGCTGGGCTTGGGTCAAAACATCTGGTGGTAACAGAGTGCGAATCCCATCTCAGTATCAAACAAATGTCAAACCTTGGCTTGTTTTCCTAACTTTGGATCCCCAGATATTGTTGAGAGGTCTAACACTGCTCCCCCTTCAATAGTTTTACGTTCTTCTTATTCTGTGAACACAGGTGGTGGCGGCGATTGCTAATTCACTTTTATTTTATAGCATGGTTAAGCCCCATGATATTTTATTTTAGGGTAGAATAAACTTGTAAACACTCCTATCATTTGCTTCTTACCTCTGTGGGATGCCAACTTAACAGAAGGGATTCAGTGTATTCTCGAAGGCTTTCACAGCCCAAATCTGATGGTTGTTGTAGGTTTTTCAGGCTGTTTGGCCGTGTTCTGAAGGTTTTTCTTCCTAATGTTTTGCCAGTCTCTGTGGCTGGCATCTTCAGAGGACACGAGTTAGAACTCTGTCTGTGTTCTGGTGTAGTGTGTGGGATAGACAGAGTTCTAACTCCAGTCCTCCGAAGATGCCGGCCACAGAGACTGGGAAAACATTGGGAAGAAAAACCTTCAGAACACGGCCAAACAGCCCGAAGAACCTACAACAACCACAGGAGGGATACAAGTTCTTGGAAGCATTTTAGGGCATCTCAGAATCCTCAGCTGATTGTGTTGCGTAGTAATAGGAAAATAAATGGTTCATTTTATGCCAAGTGACCTACCTTTCCCTGTGGAATCATCAGGGAAAAAAACATCAGCCAGCAGAAAGATGAACAGTCATAGCTTGGAAAGGCAGTGGGGGCAGCACTCTGGCAACAAATGATACGTTCCAAGAGGATTGTTCATGCTGATGTTCTGTTTTGTGTCTATAAAAGGAGGAAGGACAATGATCTGACCTTGTCTATTGTTTCTGTGGCTGTTTTCCATCTCACAGTTTTGCTTTCTCATTCCTTATATTTGGAAAGATAAATGACCTAGACTGGATACAATGTCCCCCATGCATATGGGATTACAATGAGATTTACCAGCCCAAGTCTTGTTTCAATTGCTTAGAGTTTTATTCCCAATTGTGTGGTGGTGTTTCAGTCTAGTTGCAAACCTACATTGTAATAGCTTCTGTTGGAACATTACATTAATGAACAAGAGCATGCATTGAACTTTGAAATATGTGAAAAAGCAGCTCATATAAATCAGGTGGACTCACATTACTCTCCTCCCACCATATTCGCCAGGATTCAAAATGTGTATAGGAATGTGTATATCATGTGTGTGTGTGTCTTAGGCGAGAGAGACATTCCAGGACCTAGATCCCCCCCCCCAAAAAAAAGTCAAAAAAAGTTTTGATTTTGCACTTGAATTTTTTTTGGCTTTTGCCAACTCTGTTTGATACTGTACATACGCAGTTCTGTAGAGTTTAAGAGGCTCATGGCTGAAATACACTCCTATCATGTCTGACCTTTTAGCAACCCTTTTGAGTGTTAAGTGTATTCATGCATGTTCAGAAACCTTAGTAAATATGGCCGCCAGGACTTAACATCAACCTGGGATCAGAACAGCACTGGCAAATCTAAACCACATAGTTGTGGGGTTTAGTAGTGAGGATAAAAGTTGTAAGTGAGCAAGTAAGGCAACTTTTCATTGTTTTAGGTAGTCTCCCTGTACCAACTGGGAAGGATCCAACATTATAAGTAGGTGCCAGTAAGGATGTGTTGTCTTCATATGACTCAGTTTCATACCAAGAGTAAAACTACATGCTATTTTAAAGATGTACTTAGCAGCTGTATCTTTGTTTCCTTGCACTGTTTTTATGTGCCATCAAGTTGCTTCCAGTGTAAGGCAACCCTATAAATTAGTGACCTTCCAAAGATTCTATAATCAACAGAAGGTTCTTTTATTGAATCACTCCATCTCACAGTGTTCAGTCTTATGCTCCTCTCGTCTTAATCGTGCTCAAAAATAAATGCCAGGGGAATATGATCTGTACTGTACTGTAGTGGGATGTGCCATGGGCAAGAGTGATATTTAACACTCTGCCACCTATTGTGGCCCCAGTTGCAGTCTGCATAGTCTCTACATCTGCAGTTTTCATTGTTTTTTAAAAAAGAGGACTAATTAATTTTATTACTTTTTAGAAAGACGTTACAATGGCAGGTGTGGGCAGGGCTTATCTGGTGTGGGACCTCAGTAGGAAGCCAAAGGGTTCATCTTTCCACACTAAATTCCCAATCTGGATTGGGTTTCCGGGCACTCACGGCTAAATAAGGGGGAAGAAAAGATGTAGCTGTTGGCGCCATCTTTTTTAAATGAATAAATAAATAAGTTTATTTATTGTCATTGTAAGTATATACATAGAATACACATAAAACAAAATTCACACAGACACCCAGAGACCAGACCCACATGCACACACATAAAAAATCCCCAAATACTCCCCACCCACTAAAAGCCCCAAACACTCCCCACCCATCTTTAAAGCAACATACTGTCTGGCTCTCAGTAAGAATGGAAAACAGATGACCATGCAAAGGAAGGAAATGGTCATATATGTATATTGTTATTTAAAAGTGCTTCAGATAGTTTTGGGCCAAAATTAAACATACTGGACAATGTGAAGGGAACTTACAGACACTTGGATCATTGCACACAATGCAGGTTCTGGTGCAGTTGAAAGTGCTGTCAATGCACCCTTGTTTAAACTGCACCAGTGCTTCAGTTGCCTGCCAGCCAGTGTTGGGAGAGACTACCCAGCTACTGATAGCACCGTGGTTGGCTTGTGGCAAAAGCAGAGCTGCTGGGGCTGCATTTGAGGCACTGGTAGGAGGTTTCTATATTGGCAGTATTTACCTTTGGTTAGAATCAGCCATGTGACCCCAGGAACCCATGTGATTTAAATATCCATGTAACCAATGCACTTTGGGAGTCTCCCCCTAGGGAGAGGTTTTGTACTAGCAGTTGTGCTGCAAAGTCAATGATGAGATCTTCAGTAGAAGGTCTTTAAAAAGCTTAGGCTTCAGACATTGGAAGGCTGCCTGCGTTTCCCGGATCCCTGTGCACTCTTCAAGTTAAAATGTTAAATTTTATGAAATTTTGCCAGAATTAGTTACTGCGTGCCCTGATGGGAAGCAGCTGCTTTGTGTGAGATGCATTATAACGTCCAGTGAACTCTAATTTGATTGCATGAAAAGCCTTAACTGTTGGCTGTGTAAAGAGCTACTCCACCCCCATTCAGGAAAACACACAAGTCATTTTTTTCCTAAGTCAGACAAAGATTTATTTAATTAAGACTCAGACAAATGCCATGTGTAATCCCTTTCTCTTCCTTAAGGGAGGTGCATTTTTCAATCAACAGCATGGTTTGTGATCAGCCAAAACTGAGCAGTTTAAAATATTGCTGCCTTCATTAGAAGCGATTTTAAGCTGTTAATTGTGTAGAAGAGAGAGTTTTGGCAGGTGTAGCTTATCAATGCAAGCCACACATGCCAAATTTTCCTCTTCTACAAGTCTGCTGAAGGTGCAGGGAACCGTTCCTCTTTTGCATCATAGCATTGTTGAACATTATAGTTTGATAAGTGCATAACAATATTTCGGCGAGAATTATATAACAATTCTGTTCTTATTTAACATTTTACCTTTAAATCCTTTGTAGTGACTCTTAGCCGTAAGGATGCACTGGAATAATGTGAAGGATGAAATGAAATTTTTAATACATTCTTCTTCTTTCTTCTTACCTCAGCCTTTGTATTCTATGCCAGAGAGTGCACAGTTTATGAAAAAAAACAAGAACTACAGCAGTGGTAGTAGTTGTGAAAGCAGCAGTGAAATTTCTGAATGGGAGGAAGATGCTGAGAGAGAAGATGAAAATGTGAAGAAAGAGAAAAATGTTTCATTTGATCTAGAAGATGAGAAATTGATAGAGCGATCCAGTAAGTTAAATTAATACAAATGTCATGTATGTGCACATTTAAAAAAGATTTTTAAAAGATTTAATTTTACATTTTAAAAAGATTTTAAAATGATCCTGTAACTGGTGAACTTTCAGCTAGGTAGATTTTTAGATCTAAAATATGAATTATGCTAAACTATCTTTACAGTAGTTTTTTTTTTAATTTGTGTACTGTATTGGTGTTTATATGTGAAGGGTATGGGACTCTACTTGTATAATACTAATGCGTCCTCCTCCATATTATGAAACATGTCTTAAAATATACCATCAAAGCCACTAGGGGTGATATTTTATTCCTTTTGGACTGAAACTCCTAGAATTTGTTAAGGAATCTCCCTAGGCAGAAATCTGGACACTGCAGCCAAAAAATAGTAGCTTAAAAAGGAGTTTTTCTCATTTCTATGTGTCCCTTTATCACTAGTAGACTGGCCTTTCAAGAAGGAGAAAGAAGCTGCTGCCAGTGGTGCCTGAGAGTACTGCAAGAGTTCTTGGAAATTTCAAGGGAGTGAGGGACATGTAATCTCAGTGCCTATTATGATCTATAGAGGGAGCTTCGCAAACCCATCTTATCCTGGTGAATTTTGGGAGTTTCTCAAAAGAAATGAAAGTGTGATGTGTATCAGGTGTGGTAGAACAGTCTAGCCAAGGGATCGGGAATTTTGGCTGTCCAGATGTTTGGGATTAGAACTCCATGAATTGTAGACCAAGGTGTCTGCAGTATCAATGGCTTCTTACTAGAGATGAGGGTATTCATATTCGTATACGAATATCCCTGCACACGTAGAAATAACGAGGGTTATTTCTCATGATTTCGCCACTGACGCGAGCTCGTCGGGCTTTCCTATCGCGCCATTGTCTGCAATCAATTACCCAGTCTGCGAGCTCGTCGGACTTTCCTATTGCGTCATTGTCTGCAATTGATTACCCAGTCCTGCCAGGAGGTGGGATGCCAGGAGGCGGGATGACAAGTCTCTGTGCTAGGTTGGAGAGTGGCTAATCCATTGCAGAGAACAGCACGATAGGAAGCCACCGTGGTGCCAGCAGCAGCGGCGAAATCGTGAGTGGATAGTCTGGCCCCATGGAGCTAGACCCTCGTTATTTTCACCTATGCAGGGATATTTGTATTGATATACGAATACCTCCATCTCTACTTCTCACCTCTGGTCTAGGAGTTATTGTTCTGATCTTTTCCATTGTTTCTTTGGAGGGGAAAAAGATTATCTCTTTCCTTTCCAATTTTAGAGAAACATTGAAACAATCAACTATTAAACATTTAGAAGCTCTTGGTGGTGGTTGGTGGTTGGGTATGAATACAAAGAAATAAAATGGCAGTAATTAAAAACAAATCTGAAGACGGTAGTTAAACCAAGTTGCTGAAATAGTGAAGTCTTCCATCCTTGGCAGCAAAACCCTGATCAAGGTGGATCCAAATTTACTTCCCAGAGAAGATAACTCCACACTCTACGTGGCAAAAAGAAAAGATCCTACTGTACATTCCTACCAACCATTTCTTAGAAAGTGCAGTGGGACATTGTGAAGGAACTCACCACAGTGGCAGATGTGTAGAGTTGATCTTTAAGTCTCTTTCTCCTAACTAAGCTATTTTAAAAATAGAAAACCAGCATTTTGAATCATATCCATTAGAAAAAAAAACACATGGTAGTTAGTGCAGTGGTATGAACAATGGAGTAATCCTGCCTCCACCCCCACACTGGCCATTGTTCAAAACTCTTCAGGCTGCATTCTGTATCAGCTGAATTTTCCAAAGAATTGTCAAAAGTGAACTCTCATACAGTATATTAAAGCAATCCACTAACATGGGAGTATGTGATTATGTCTGACTCTGTTTGTGCTCCCAAGAAATAGATGTGGCTGCTACACCAGCTTAAGCTGAGCACATGCGCTAGCTGTTTGGGAGTATAATTGTGTCCTGCCACAGCCGTTCTTTTTAGCACAGTATGAAAAAATGTTTTCGTAATGTAGCTTTATGCTCCGTTTACTGCTGGCAGAGCTGAAGGCCAATCTCATATTTTGCTTCTTAGTGTACAGATAAAGCTTCATGAGTTCTTCTGCATTTAAGTTGCATTCCATGTTAACTGTTTCGTAAAAAGCCTGATCTGTGTATTAAATATTTTGAAAGAGCAGTCCTCATACAGTCCTGGTGAGTCAGTACTGCTTCTGGATGCCCATGGGTGGTTTGTTTGTCTTACCACTCTACAGTCTTCCTAGATATGGAAAATATGTACACTTGCCATATTTTGAAGTGATATACTCTCTTGAAGACTGTACTTTGCATCTTTGCTAAATGGTTGAAGGGAGCTATAACAGAATGAAATAATGTCACAGCCTTTTACTGCTTCAGAATCAACTGTCATTCTGATGGGAAAGGATGTGGAGGTTCCGGTGCATTGCAGGGAACTGGTGTGCATATGTGTGTGCATTTGCAGTGGAGGTGCATGTACTGTGTAGATCTGTTTGAGTGGATACTGATGCTTACTGAGCAACAGTGCCCCCAGCAGCATTTTACTTTCCCCCATAGGAATAGCGAGTTAGGAGAAAGTAAAGATTTATACTCAAGATACACACCGAGATAGGGATAAGTTTTAGTATGTCTCCTGAAGGTTTGGGTCTTCCTAATCTTGTGCCCTTCCCATTTTTTAAAGCAATTTGGCATCATTTTTAAAACTCCTAGCAGCTATCATCCTATCAATCTTTTTGGGGTTGCGGATTGGCTGAGCCTCTGTGGAAGGTGGGGCACCCCCCTGTACACACACACTCTCTCCCTCTCAGGTGTATGTGGTGGGGGCGCGCACGCGCGCCCACCAGCACTGGTGTGAGTGCTCTCCCACCCCTTCACGCATGCACAGGAACGCCTGCCTGGGCACTCATCTACCCCTTCACTCGGGCACATGCATGAAGGGGGGGAGCGCTTATGCCGGTGCTGGAATGCGTGCGCGTGTGTTAAGCAGCTGTGGGGAGGGGAGGGCATGCAGGGGGACAGGAGGTCTGTCTCCGCGGCCCAGTCCGGCTCAGGACATGGATCGGCACCGGGGGTTGATAACCTCTGATGTAGATTATGGATACTTTAACCCTTTGTCTCTGCCAATAGGCTCCCAGTTCAGATCAGACCTTTCTGTCGATGTCTGCAGTTTATAATTCCAAGAAGTAATCTATGAAAGCCAGTTGCTGGGCAATGTAAATTAAGACACAAAAGCCTCCTGATCAGAATTGTAGTGGGGGACAAAGGTTTAAAGCCCCTTTCTTCCTGCGTTACAGTCTTATTCCAGATAGCAGGAAGTAGACTTGTCCACAAAAGCTCATTATAATTCCAAGAAGTAATCTATGAAAGCCAGTTGCTGGGCAATGTAAATTAAGACACAAAAGCCTCCTGATCAGAATTGTAGTGGGGGACAAAGGTTTAAAGCCCCTTTCTTCCTGCATTACAGTCTTACTCCAGATAGCAGGAAGTAGACTCGTCCACAAAAGCTCACATTGAAATATAGCAGCAAGTTTTTAAAGTGTCACAACACTTTTGTCTCCTCTTCCTCCTCCTCCTCCTCCTCCTTGTTATTATCTCGATTGTTGTTGTCATTGTTGTTATTATTTGGCCAGATATGCTAGCACAGATGAACATGGCTACCTCTTCTAAAACTCCAGATAGGTTTCTCTTCGCTTGCTGTTAAGTAGAAAAGCACCTTAAAAAGAGATTCTGTTTCTAGCTTCCAAAGTAATGTCCAACATGACTTGAGCTGGTGAAGTAATTCCAGCGTGGAGTTGAAGGAATGAGAAGGAACTCAAGTAGAATATGGTTTTGCAGGGAGAATGAAAATCTGTAGGAAGTTTGATGGCATTTAAGAAAAAAGAGATACAGTAGAGCCTTTTGTTTTACTGCATTGTATTCTTTCACAGGCAGAACACACTGGAAGCGGCCTCTTAAAAAAGTCCCCTCTTATGCATCTACCACATCATCTGCAGGTCCTATCAGGCGTTCTGTAAGCTGCCCTCGATCTATTTCAGCCTTGTCCATGCAAATGCAGGCCACTGAAAACCGTCCATTCTCCGCCAAGCCAGGGGTGCATCATCTGCGACAGTCCTCTATGAATAGGTCACACTCTTTAAACAGAGGGTCATCTGCAGTCAAGGTATCTCACACTGCCAACCTGGGTACTGTACACTCTTCTGTGGTAAGTGAATGAATTGCACTGTGATTGCACAAAAATGATACCTGTTTTGTTAAGTAAAACTTTTCTGTAAATGTTGGAAATCTTTGGTAAGATAATGCTCTTCTCATATTATCCAAGCCTAAAGCTTCTAATTTTGCAACCAAAAACTCACAGGTCACCAACTCTACTGATATTAAAATGGGTAAGTGTAACTAAGGATTTTGTATTCGCGAAGGCTTTCATGGCCTTCACAGGTCACCAACTCTACTGATATTAAGTAAGTGTAACTAAGGATTTTGTATTTGCGAAGGCTTTCATGGCCGGGATCTAATGGTTGTTGTGGGTTTTTTGGGCTCTTTGGCCGTGTTCTGAAGGTTGTTCTTCCTAACGTTTCGCCAGTCTCTGTGGCCGGCCACAGAGTCATATATCGTCAAGCGAGGCACCACTGTACATGACATATATCGTCAAGCGAGGCACAACTGTACATGATATCAGTAAATAGCTACTGAGGACAGCTAAAGCCATAGTAAAACAAAATAACATTAACGATTAAAGCCATTCAAAGGTGTCTTTTGTATAGGATGTATACAAAAAGCTGAATAAACTTTTTGTATACATGCACATGCCCTGGTCATTCTAGGTTACTATAGGGTTAGAGCTATACTACCTTTTAAAAAACAGAGACCATTATCTGTGTGGAGCTAAAAACGTGTGCTTTTTAAAGTGAATATTTGGTGACTTTTTAATTATTTCCTGTCACCAGGCTTTGGGGGCATTTTATCTCTCTCCAGTACCCCGAAAGAACAGCTGGAGGAGTTAGTTTCATATATAGTATCAAGTTACTATTACTGAATAATAAAATGTAACCTACTGAATTTGGATAATAGTATAACCAAAAAAAATCATGATGTTTGTGGAACAGTGAAAATGTAAATATTTGGGAAAAAATACGGCATTGTGAGATAAAGAAGATTAACTGTTCAATTAAATATTTGTTCTGCAAATATTTAATTAAGCAAAAACTTGAGGGATGATCTTGAGTGCATTTCGTCGTCATTTAGTCGTTTAGTCGTGTCCGACTCTTCGTGACCCCATGGACCAGAGCACGCCAGGCCCTCCTATCTTCTACTGCCTCCCGGAGTTGTGTCAAATTCATGTTGGTTGCTTCGCAGACACTGTCCAGCCATCTCATCCTCGGTCGTCCCCTTCTCCTCTTGCCATCACACTTTCCCAACATCAGGGTCTTTTCCAGGGAGGAAACTTGAGGAATGATCTTGAGTGCATTAACTGTACTTGAAATTAGGTTTCAGTGAGAAAAGTTCAGTTTAGGATGATTATAGAAATATAAGTAGCCTAATCAACACTCTGGAGCTGCAAACCTATGGGGATATATAAAGGTCAGTGAAACTGATGGTTTTTTCAAAATAATACATTTTACTTCATTTTAGAACAGTATTACCATACCCTCACAAAATACGTTGTTAATGAAATCCTTGATTATATACTGTTTCATCAATGTCTTGTTTCAGCCTGGAGAAGCATTTACTGTACTTGAAATTAGGTTTCAGTGAAAAAAGTTCAGTTTAGGATGATTATAGAAATATAAGTAGCCTAATCAACACTCTGGAGCTGCAAACCTATGGGGATATATAAAGGTCAGTGAAACTGATGGTTTTTTCAAAATAATACATTTTACTTCATTTTAGAACAGTATTACCATACCCTCACAAAATACGTTGTTAATGAAATCCTTGATTATATACTGTTTCATCAATGTCTTGTTTCAGCACATTTCTGTACTAATCATCTTAAAGGTACATGATGTTCTTTGAATATTTATACCCCAACCTCAGCAGGAAGATTTTGGTTGCAGTCCTGTCTCCAGTCAACTTGGAGTAAACCCCATTGCACTTACTAGACTTGCCACTGAGTGGACTGTTACAATAGTAAATCTCTCTTTTTAATTTTAACAAGAGACAACATACAGACAACTTCCTAGATTTTAACCAGCAAATACACAGCAAAGTATTGAGCAATGCGAACATGCCCTTTTTTGAAGCTTCCTTGTTCTTACGAAATATGTGTGCCTATTAATCCACGCAGAAGAAGCTCCAGAAAGACCTCCAGAATAGTTGAAAAAGGAACTAAAAAAGAAGGAATACTTCTTCTGGGTTTAGCTTGTACACAGTGGGTCTTTTATTGAATCCAGAAAAGCAATGAAATTTGAGATCCATCAAATTCAGTAGCACATCACTAACACCGAGATGTTGTCTGTGTATATATTTTTATTTATTAAATTTGCAACCTTCCTTTTCGCCTAATGTAAAAGATCAAAAACAAAGCTTTAGGAGTAAGGAGAGAGCACCAGCATGCAGCCAGTCAAAGCACAATAGTTGAAAAAGGAACTAAAAAAGAAGGAATACTTCTTCTGGGTTTAGCTTGTACACAGTGGGTCTTTTATTGAATCCAGATGAGCAATGAAATTTGAGACCCATCAAATTCAGTATCACATCACTAACACCAAGATGTTGTTTGTGTATTTTTATTTATTAAATTTGCAACCTTCCTTTTCGCCTAATGTAAAAGATCAAAAACAAAGCTTTAGGAGTAAGGAGAGAGCACCAGCATGCAGCCAGTCAAAGCACACATATGTGTTGTGTGCTGTCAAGTTGCTTCTGACTTATTGTGGACCTAGTAGGATTTCCAAAATAAGTGAGAGATTTAAGAAATTGTTTTTAATGGTGACATCCTCCAATGAGTTTCCATGGCTGACTGGGAATTTGAACCTAGGTCTCTATCCACTACACTACACAGCTTCTCAGTAATCACTAACCACACATACCCCGGCGAAAACCCAGTTCAGGTGCCAAAGCCCTGTCTTAATAAAAAGACCTTTGCGTGCAGGAGAAAAGAAATAGAAGAGGCAGTCTAGTCTTCTTTCGTAAGGCATTCAAGAACTTGGGATTGGTCAGCAAGGAAGCCCTGTATGTATGTTGATGGTTTATCCTTCCACTGTCTTCTTTTGTTTTAAAGAAAAGGAATTGCAAAGGAAATCTTTATCCATTATACATAGAAGGTGATGCGAAAGTAACGTCTCTCAGCTACCTACCAAGTGCCATTTGTTGTACTTTGGCAGGTTGATATGCAGCAGAGAACAAAAGAACAAGAGGAATTGCTCACAAGAGAGACTCTTGTCATTTTCAATGACATGAAGATCCGATTTCCAGGGAAAACGAATGAAGAAGCAGAATTAATAATTGAAGATGTAAGTACTGCAGAAGGGAAATATATTTAAATGCAGGTGGGATGGGAGTGATACTTGGGAGTAAGTTCATAGGTTCCGCTCCCCTTGATTGACATGCAGCAGCTGACATTCTCTGTAATCCACCTCATCACCATCCCTATCAAATCTCACAGAAATTAGGGACATGTAATAAATTTAAGCATTTTTATTCTTTTCTGCAACGCAAACGATGCATTTTGAATAAAATAAGATAGCCTTTATTCATGTGCTTAGCATAAGAATGGTGTGACATGAAAGGAACTATAGATGGGAAAAGGATTAGGGAATAAAAGAAATGCTGGCATACATACTTCAGTTTAAATAGTACTTTGCTTAATGATTATCTGGAGTGGAAACAGTTCAGGCCTAGGAGAAGCCTGATAAGGCTGTTCTTATCAAGAGAGGTGAAGGAATAAGTGCCCATGGTTCCCATCTCCTTCTACAGCAGCCTGATAGAATTCTTGTCATATGATTCCAAAGCAAACTTTGTTCCAATTCTGCAGGTGGTAATTTGTGGAATTAGTTTTGGGCTAGATGGTTGAACATCATGGCCTGATGCAAAGTATCTTCTTGTGCTGATTCTTAGCAGCATTGAATTGTAGAAATGACAGGCGTCCCAAAGCATGTAGTTCAACCCCTGACCATGCAGTAATTCATAGTTAAGCATTCTTGGTAGATGGACATCCAACCTCTGCCTAGAAACTTCCAATAAAGGAAAGTTGACCACTTTCTGTGATATGCTCTTCCACTATTGATCAGGAAATTCTTCCTACTCTCTCCTTTATTATACTTTAAATCTATTGGTTGGGGTCTATCCCTCTGGAACTGCATCAAACAAGGTTATGTTATTTCCCATGTGTCAGTCCTTCAGATAAAAGAACTTGCATAGGGATCATTCTCTGAGCACCCCTTCTCCAGTGGAATTACTCTCTCCATGTGAAACATGGAGCTGTAGATGGTATAGACAGCCTTCTCCTTGAACAATGGCTCTTGGTGATCCAGCGGCGTTAAAAGATTAGTTCATACAAACAGTTTATGTGGGGAATGTAAAACAGGTTGGGTAGGTTGTGGTGACCCAGATGTTGAATTGCACTCCCATCATCCCTAGCCAGGGGTGAGGAATAGTGGGCATACAGGGACTTCTGGATTCTGGAGGGTTCACAAATTGCCAGCACTACTATGCACTGATGAGTCCCAGTGGATTTATTACTCTTTAATATGCTACAGAATCTTTATGTTGTTTGCTACACTACAGTACCTTGATCTGGCTGTTCTCTGGGGAAGTTTCCAGAAAGTGGCAATTTTCTGGAAAGTTTGGGACCTAACCTTGACCTACTGCCAGAATGTTCTCACCCACTAAATAGTAATTGCTTTGCTGTTCAGACGCAGAAAAGACCGAGAAGCATGTCAGCATTGCCGTGATGGGGCGGTATATAAATGTTAGAAATAAATAAATGCATTTAGTATTTTGGGGTCATGGAACAATTATGGGCTAGTTTGCTGACAGGTAATAAACTAAATTGTTTTTGATGTTCAGTAACCACTCCCATGTGTTTGTTGTAAGCCGCCCAGAGACCTTTGGGTAGTGTGGGCGGCATATAAGTTAAATAAATAAATAAAATAAATAAAACTAAGTAAAGGGCCACTCTATAATTGCTATATAATGTAGTATTTCTACCGTGGGAACATTATTTGAGTTGCTTGGCAGATATTAGCACGTGGGAGGAAAATAATATTTAAAAATCCCTTTTGTATTTGTGGCCTGAGGCATTTAAATCATTTGAAGTAAATTAAACATTGAATTAAAACAGTAATTTAAACAATCACTTCCCTTCATCATTTGTGTAGCTTATCTTTGAATCATAATTGTTTTCCTTCAGCATGTTACTTTTTCAGAACATACTTGCGCCATCTGGTGGAATAGTTCAGAACAGTATTAAATTGATCTGCAGTTTCCATATTGTAGAGTAATTTTCTATATTTTAAGTACCTTGAATTCACAGATTTTAACTATACAGTATTTTTAAACAGAAAGCATTAAGAAGTTTGTCATTTGTTTTTATTTTCAGGCAGTTTTTATGCATGCAGAGTGCAGGGTGTATTTTCCTTCCACCTCCCCTGCATGGCGAATGGTGATGAAGCCTGTTAAGAGTTAGAAACCAGTCTCAGTGTACTGGTGTATATGGTAGTAAGTCTGCTTTCTATAAGCATGGCACCATTATCACTAATCCTCTTTGCTTTTATACAGATCATGGATAATTGGAAATACCACAAATCAAAAGTGGCCTCTTATTGGTTAATAAAACTAGACTCTGTTAAACAGCGAAAGGTGAGTTGCATAAGCTTTCCCTAGTAATTTGTTAGCCATTAATAAGTATACAGTGGTGCCTTGCATAGCGACGTTAATCCACGCAGCAAAAATCACTGCTAAGCGATTTTGTCGCTATGCAATTTTAAAAAGCCCATAGAAACGCATTAAAACCTGTTTAATGCGTTCCTATGGGCAAAAAAATTAGCTTAAAGTGAAGATCCTCCATGCATCGGCCATTTACACTGCCTCTTAAGCGAGGAATCCATGCAAAAACACAGCGGGCGGCCATTTTTTTACCCGGCGGCCATTTTGGAACCGCTGATCAGCTGTTAAAAAATCTTCGTTTTGCGATGATTGGTAAGCGAAACAGGGAACCGATCATCGCAAAGTGAAAAAAACGCGTAGGAAACATCGCAATGTGATCGCTTTTGCGATCGCAAAATCTTCATCACTATGTGGTTTCGTCGTTAAACGGAGCCCCGTGAAGCAAGGCACCACTGTACTTGGATTAGCATTCGTAACTACATTTGTCAGCTCCTTTTAAATGTTCTTCCCTATGATAAACTTTTTAGATTGTTCTCTGTGATTATTTCTTGATTAATATGGTCTCTGTGATGGTTTTATCCTGGTCTCATCCTGGTTTGTTGTCACTAATGAAACTAATTAAAAATTTAAACAGTTCAGTAAATTTGAGCATCATAAGCTTTTAGTCTCCTACTGTTTTCCAGGAGATGATAGCATTCTTTGTAAAACATCTAGCAGGCACAAGTCAGGAGTAGAAGAATGAGTTACATGAACTCTGTTTGTCAAATTGGAATCCATGGTTCTTTCTTGTAGTCTTCATGACTCATGGTACAGGTCTTTTGGCTAAGCAGGGGTACACCTGGAAATTTCTAGAGCAAGGTAGCTTTGGGAAGCTCACCCCCACACCACCATTGCACCTGCTCCAATGCCCATGAGTGATGATCCTTCTACTCTTTTGCATCTACCACGCGAGCAACAGCATTTGTTCTCTCTCACCCCTTTTGTTTGGATGACTAGTTTGTTTTGTAGCTTACTGTAGTTTATTAAATAGTATTTTTTACCAGAAACGCCTGGGTTCCACCCAAAATTTTGTAGCTACAACTGCGCTGTTTAAGAAGTGCACTGACTGTGGGGAAGCACTGCCCCCTTTGATGGGCATTCAAAATGTTTTTGGGGGGTTGGGAGAGATCCACCTAGCCCTTCTCTGCACTGGTTTTAAGAGTCTCATTAAGAGGAGATTCAAAAGATAAGAATCTCATCTTCACCTGTTTCTTTGGGAGCAGTTGTTGAAATCTGCTGATTTAGTGGCACTACAAGTGTTCACCAAATATAAAGGTAAAGGTAAAGGTTCCCCTTGATTATTTTTGTCCAGTCGTGTTCGACTCTAGGGGGTGGTGTTCATCCCCGTTTCCAAGCCATAGAGCCAGCGTTTTGTCCGAAGACAATCTTCCGTGGTCACATGGCCAGTGCGACTTAGACACGGAACGCTGTTGCCTTCTCACCTAGGTGGGATCTACTTGCATTTGCATGCTTTCGAACCTCTAGGTTGGCGGGAGCTGGGACAAGCGACGGGAGCTCACTCCATCGCGTGGATTCGATCTTACGACTGCTTGGTCTTCTGACCCTGCAGCACAGGCTTCTGCGGTTTAGCCCGCAGCGCCACCACGTCCCATGCGCCACCACAACACCAAATATATAGCCATCAATATAGATCTATCTATCTATCTATCTATCTATCTATCTATCTATCTATCTATCTATCTATCTATCTATCTATCTATCTATCTATCTATCTATCTATCTATCTATCTATCTATCTATCTATCTATTCTGTCTGTCTGTCTGTCTGTCTGTCTGTCTGTCTGTCTATCTATCTACACACACACACACACACACACACACACACACACACACAGCTCACTGTTGTATCAGGAATGGATATGTTTCTTTATATGGTCATTTGGCTTCTTGCAGCACACATTCATTCCTGTCTTAAACCCAAGTCTATGTATCAACTTTACTTGCTGAAAGGTTAGTATATCAGTGAGGTGTCTCAGCTTCATCCAAGTACAGAGATTCAGTTTATTAAGACTTGCATAGATTTTGTGGCTCCCAGGCCTTTCTTCCAATGGAGGGACGAATATGTTGGCAAACATGATTCACGAGGCGCTCACAGATCCATCCTCCTGCACCAGAATGTTGTTGTTGTTTCATCTTACACTTTCCTTTAGTGCTAAAGCACTCTCTGGGCTTTACACCATAATTATGCAAATCACACTTTGTCCCCTAACAAGCTGGATACTCCTTTTACCAACCTTGGAAGGATGGCGGGCTGAGTCAATCTTAAGCTGGCTACCTGGATTTGTTGGGGTGAACTCAGGTTGTAAGCAGAGGCTTGACTGTAGTGTTGCATTTTAAGAACTACACCACATATTCCAATGGCTGGTGGACTTTCTGTTAACCATGACAGCTGTACCACTGTTTGCCAGTAGACAACAGCATTTGTTCACAAAATGTTTTGACCTAAATGTAGGCAGTCTGCAAAATGATGTACATATTGATGGAAATGTGGTGCAGTCATTTGTGGTGGACCCCTCTGCACAAGACATCTGAGGTTTCTTTTGCAGTTAGCATAGCCATTGATACTGATGATGATGGATGCTTCCTTAGCAGAATGAGAAATACATTGTTGTGGCCTCACAATCCATGGAAAAGGGTTCTAGAGACCCTGTCGTTTTCATATGGATGTCCTCAGACTGCTTGCTGTCCACAAAGCTCTCCACACGTTCAAGTTTTTCATCCATGGAAGGGTAATCCCAGTAACCACCATGGATACAACCATCATGTATTGTTTCTTGGGTGGATAATCTTGGTTGACTTTGGGACCAAATCCCCACCCCACCCCCTGCAGCATCACACACTGGGCAGTATTTCCCCCCTCCCCAAAATAAAAATAAAATAAAGAAGTAGTGCCAGCATTTTTGTTTTGCATTTTACTACAGTGGTGCCTTGACTTATGAACTTAATCCGTAATGGAATGGTGTTTGTAAGACAAAACGTTTGTAAGTCAAAGCAGCATTTCCCATAGGAATGCATTGAAACCTGATTAATCCGTTTTGGCTGTTTTTTGTTCTTATGTCAAGATACGGTTTGTAAGTCAAAGCATTCGTTCCCATAGGAACGAATGCAAAACCCGTTAATCCGTCCTCTACCACTAGGGGGAGAATTTTTTTAACCTAAGATTATTTAGGTTTAAAAACGGTCAGGAAAAGAGGGAGACAGAGAGAGAGAAGACAATGGGGGAGGGAGAGAGTTTGGAGTCTAACACATATCCTAAACCAACACATTTTAAACCCACACATTTTACACCAAGCCAGCACAGACCCTTGCAAAAACTTTTCTGATTTGCAAGGGAAGCATGCAGGAACCATTGCAAAAGCACAGAAAACAAATGGAGCAGATTAGAAATGCAAAGAGAATGAAGCAAAAAAGCAAGGGAAGCATGCATGAACCATTGCAAAAACAAACGGAGCACATCAGAAATGCAAAGAGAACCAAAAAAAAAGCAAGCAAGACACAGTGAAAATGGGGAGAAACCCCCCCAAACAACCAAGCCCCCCCCCAAGACCCGTTGGAAATGGGGGGGGGGACCAAAAAAACAAATTCCCCAAGACCCATCAGAAATGGGGAAAAGCACTCCAAAATGGGACCAACCCCCATTGGAAATGGGGGAGAACCTTAAAAACAAGCACCCTGACCCCACAAGACCCATCACAGCACGGAAACATAAGCCCCCCCCGGCCAAAAATCACGCTGCAAAAATACCCATAACAGTTTTTAAAAAGTATAAAGCAGCACTTTATCTTAGCAGGCAGCCTTATCGGATTGCACACACTCTAACTGCTGGGGCGAAAGAGCTACAAAGAAGCAGCCTCATTGCCACCTACAGTTAGCTTTTTGAATTTCCTGCCCTTTCCCCTTGCCTTTTTTCTGTTCGTAAATCAAAGCTCCTTTCGCAAGTCAAAGTAAAATTTTGTGAATGGAGCTGTTTGTAACTCAAAATGTTCGTAGGTCAAGGCATTTGTAAGTCAAGGCACCACTGTATTTTGGATGGATGGGGAGTCTTAATGTGACCCCCAACACTCCTTGAATAATAATAATAAATTCCTACAGACCTTCAGAAACACAAATAGACCCTTGCAAAAACTTTTCTGATTTGCAAGGGAAGCATGCAGGAACCATTGCAAAAGCACAGAAAACAAATGGAGCAGATTAGAAATGCAAAGAGAATGAAGCAAAAAAGCAAGGGAAGCATGCATGAACCATTGCAAAAACAAACGGAGCACATCAGAAATGCAAAGAGAACCAAACAAAAAGCATGCAAGACACATTGAAAATGGGGAGAAACCCCCCCAAACAACCAAGCCCCCCCTCAAGACCCGTTGGAAATGGGGGGGGGGACCAAAAAAACAAATTCCCCAAGACCCATCAGAAATGGGAAAAAGCACTCCAAAAAGGAACCAACCCCCATTGGAAATGGGGGAGAACCTTAAAAACAAGCATCCTGACCCCCCAAGACCCATCACAGCACGGAAACATAAGCCCCCCCCGGCCACACATCACGCTGCAAAAATACCCATAACAGTTTTTAAAAAGTATAAAGCAGCACTTTATCTTAACAGGCAGCCTTATCGGATTGCACACACTCTAACTGCTGGGGCGAAAGAGCTACAAAGAAGCAGCCTCATTGCCACCTACAGTTAGCTTTTTGAATTTCCCGCCCTTTCCCCTTGCCTTTTTTCTGTTCGTAAATCAAAGCTCCTTTCGCAAGTCAAAGTAAAATTTTGTGAATGGAGCTGTTTGTAACTCAAAATGTTCGTAGGTCAAGGCATTTGTAAGTCAAGGCACCACTGTATTTTGGATGGATGGGGAGTCTTAATGTGACCCCCAACACTCCTTGAATAATAATAATAAATTCCTACAGACCTTCAGAA